TACGAACCTTGGCAAACCTTTAAACTATCAAAGAAAGAGATCAATAAGCAATAATCTGAATAATAGACCTTCAAACAGGAAGTAGAAGTTTCAGGCCAGGCTACAAAAAACGTAAATTGCAAAATTGAAAGTGCACAATCAATCATACACTATTAGGCACATACTTCATGAATTGTAACTTTCTCTTGGGCATGACCCCACAAAGGCAGCTAAGAATGAAAACTGCTTCTAGTTGAAATGTTTGCTTCTCGATATCAAAAGGTAACAAAGAATGATACAGAAGTATGTGATGTGGAATACATAATTGTTTCTATAAAGGTCGTGCAAGGATTAAAATCATCTTTCTCAAATCCTCGTAAACTGTTTAGAGCTTTAGAAAGCACGGCTTCCTCGAGCAATTCTTCCGATTTCTGAAGCACAGAAAAGAATATTGGCTAGTATCAAGACACGCAAGTTTTGAATTCATCCAAAAAATGTCCTCATGCAAAAGAATCATTTAACCTGAAAACAACTTATAGAAGAAATTAATCTCAGTAGAAAAAAACACCTTTTGCACTTCTCCATTTACTGGAAAATCCCCATCGCATGGAACTATTTTGCAGACGGTATTGCCTGCACTGAAGGCTTCTCCATAAGTACCTTCACCAACTTTGGCAATATTTTCTGGAGCACTGAGTCAAGGAAGTATGCATTGTCAAATAAATTTAGTGCAGAGAGGAAGTAGAAGAACAATGCAATGGGGGTAAACACCATTGAAACTAACCGAACCGCAGAGATGAGTGAAACCCTTGAACACAGAAGTATGCATTTTTAATTTCTGAAAATGGGACAGCATGTTTTATGATAACACAACAAAGTCAATACTCAATAGCAGATAAAGCAGGACGCATCAGCAGTGTTGTAAAGACAGATACAAACAACCTTATTATTGCAATGACACCCTCCACTTGCACGGAAAACCACAGGAATAAATAATGTGCAATTTTCTTCAAGGGGAAAAGGAAACAATTAATTTGAGAGAGACTAACCAATACTTGGAGAAAAGATCAAGAAACTTCAATGGTGCTGGCTGTTCACAAATTCCCTGTAAAGCAACAAATGGATCGATACGATCAAGATGTGTTGATGTTGTTGTAGATGCCAAGGAAAGCTTCCTGATGGAAGCATTTAGATCATCACAACCTTGGTCACCATCATTTGTGGATACTGGATTGCAGTTTTAAGGAGTTTTCACAATTGAAAAATCTAGATCATCAGCAAATCTGTGATCCATTAGAGCAGCAGGAGTTTCCAATACTTCGGACAAAGTGGAAAAAGGCCCGCAGCTGAAGTTTATCTTCTTTGACAACAGACAAGAGCCACTTCTCTAATCCGGATGAAACATCTGGTATAGGATCAGGGACAATTTGATAACCCGTTGCCCGTCCCAAAGTGTTTTGGTGATGGGCTCTCCTCCAATAACTCAAAGGCATCAACCTCTTGAAAATATTCAATCTCCTTCTGCAACTTCGCCCTGTAAACAAACGAATTTGTAATGATGAAGTAACCAATGCACACCTAGACAATATTTAAGTGTTTTGGACAAAGTAGTTGTGCAGCAACAGAGGAAATAAAGGAAACGAAGTTGAGACTTCAGATTGTACGTGATGACATAGGAAATAGGAGTGTCAGTCATACCACGGCCAAGGCAAATAAAACGCATTTGAAGATTCTTGAGCTAGTTTTAAAAGGCGCAAGGGTCCTTGAAGCCTAAGCGCAAGAGACAGGGCGTAGCTTCTTTAGTAGGCGAAGCGCAATTTTATACTAAAAAATCTATAAATCAATTATTTAATATATTTTGTATTCAAAACAAAATGAAGATAAATATTAAAATATTTAATATTAATAAATTATTGCTGTTTAAAATAATGTTAAAGTATTCAATAATAGTAACATAATCATACTATAGATGTTTAAAATAATATAAATTAAGTTCAATAAATAAAAATAAAAGATAATATATTAAGTATTAATATTTCACTGTTGTATTGCATAATTTGGGAAAAGATAATGTAATAAATAATATATTAGGAAAAGAAGATGACATTAATGCTATTGATTAATGCTAAACAAGTATTGCATAATTTGGGAAAAGATAATACATTAAATAGTAGATTGGGAAAATAATATGAAATTAGAGGCGTTTGGTTCGCGGAAAAGATCATTATCAAGGAGAATGATCTTTTTCGAAATTGTATATTCTTGTTTGGTTTGCGGAAAAGATCATAATCAAGTAATAATTTATTATCAATAGTAGCATTTTCTGGTTAAAATAATGGAAATGTCATTACCTCTAAATTCTTAAACAACGAACAATTCTCACCACTTTAGATACAAATACCTCTAAAATAATAGTTTTTTTTCTTCATAAAGATCATTCTCAATTCTTATTTTTCATGTTTTACTTAAAATTATAAACTTAATAATAATAATAATAATATACAAAAAGATAAAATTATTTTATATTTTTAATATGTAGTATATTAATCATTTTATAATTTTACAAGGTGAAACTATTATTATTGTAAAAGTATAATTATTTAAAATAATATTTAATTTTGAGTTATTAAAAAGTAGATCATATATATTAAAAAGTAATATATTTGTCTACTCGAGCTCATAATATTATTTTTATATTATATTATATATAAATAAATATGATACCTATGAAAATTATTTAAAAATATAAGTTTGATATATAAATTATATGTTTAATGTATTTTTTTCTTTAAACTTAGGTAGTGTAAAAATTAAAATATTTTTATAAATTTTCATTTAAATATTTATAATTTAATATTAAAATTTTATTTGTTAAAAAATATATATCACAAAAATAATTTGATAAATATGCATTCAAATAATCTTATACTTATTTAATCAAACACTATAAACTTATATTTTTGGAAGCAAACCAAACAGTATAATACATCGCTCCTAAATTAATTTTACATTTAAGTAATTTTACTCACAAAAGTATACTTACATTCCGTAGATCAAATATATCCTAACTCAATTACCTATCGTCGTACCAGCATAATTTGGGAAAAGAGAATGTATTAAATATTTATAATTTAATTTATACGAGTATAATATATAACCGGCTCAAGTAGATCTCTCCCCTGCTTTTCTTTTCTTTTCATTTCTTAGAGAAAATTGGTGGTTATACAGGTCGACAGAAATGAATAAAACCAAAGAAAAAAACAGTAGGAGTGTGTGATGGAGAAGAGAAACGATCTGGTGATTGACAATTGATCATTGACGGCGTTTGACTGCAATGTGGTAACGGATAAGGCAGGGGACGGCCTTTTTTTTACTTAATTTCCCCCTCCCCAGAGTCGCAGAAGCGCCTGCGCCTGCGCCTGCACTAGCCTGAAAAAACACTAAAGGCGCAGGAAGCGCATCCGCCGTTCACCGCCTCGTATGTGTAGCCATGGGCGATTTTTCGAGTGCCCATCTGCGCCTTGCGCCTAGGCGGGCTTTCTAAAACTTGAGCAGAAAAAAAAAGGAAACCCAGAACATTAATAAACCAGCATAAAGAGGCAGACATTAAATTGCAGTACGAGCAGCACACAATCAGGCGTAATCTCTTATCCTATTTGGTTAGATAAAAATGAGGAAAGGGAAAGGGAAATAAGGAACCTGGTGGAGAGTTAGCGATTCCAACTAACGCGCTTGGTGTTAGCAGCAGCGGCGAAACTAAGGCGATTGCGGTTGGAGAGTTGCGGCAGCAGCTGGTGGTCTGAGTCGGAGGGGATAGGGAGAGACGGTTATCGTCTTCTCTGATAGATGGGTTGTTGTTCCGGTGCACCTGTGATTTCGGCCCAAACATCAACGCCCGCTCCTGTTTTTGCTTTGCAATCCTTTAATGAATCCAATTTAAATTTGCAGTTCAATTTCAGAAAATAAAATTAAAGGAACGAGTATATTATTACTGTTTTTTTTTTTAAAATTCTGTGTATATAAGCAATAAGATAACAGTAAACTGCTATAAAAAATATCTTACAAAATCGATACTCAATCAAGAACACATCATGCTTGTATGTTTACAGAATCTAATCTGTCTATACTTTTAGCATACAGTTTGTCTCTAATTAATTTCTTAATGGAATTCAAAACTTCATCTATTCTTCTTTAATCCCAACTGAGTTAGATAAAAGTATTCCAAACTAATCAAAGCAAAATAGTAATTAAAGATTTACCCTTCACATAGATAACTGCCCAAATTAGCTCATAATCCCAAGAAAATCATGTCTTTCCTAAATTACAATATTCAAGTTTATTCTTCTATTCGTTTGTTGAAAGTACGCACTTAAAGAAAAATCATCTCTAGTCATCACCGCACAAACCATCTATTCTTTGATAACGCACACATCTCTTACAGACACAAATTTTTAAATCTAATTTCTTTAAAAATAACAAAATTTTTTATTAGTATTAAGATCACTTAATGAGTTATAATTACCCATCACTTCCATTTGTGTATTGGGGATAAAACTACTCAATGAGTTATAATTACCCATCACTTCCATTTGTGTATTGGGGATAAAACTACTCGGTTGCTATGTTTTTCCCTCATCTGAGACACGTAACTGCTGATGTTTCTTCATCGTACAAGGTCGATGCTATAATATTTGTGTTTCATGTTAATGCTAATACGTCTTCTTTTGCATGCCATTGCCTTCTTTCTTGTGATCATTACTTATTTTGTCACATAACACTTGGTCATCGATTAAAAAAAAACAAAGAGCTTAAATTGAACAAAGTTACACAGCAATAAAGGAATCGGAGCTCGACAAGTACAAACATCTGTTCTGGTAATGGAAACAAGCTGGGGATCTATTCACATAACATATAAATAATAAACATCAACATTCTAATTTTCAAGCACAATTGGAACAGGTATTTTGAAAAACAAATGAAATCCATAACATTTACCCGCTGAACTATAATTTTTCTTTCCATTCAGATACACTAATAAATAAACATGCATCCTTCCACAACGGTACAACCATATCAACTCCCGGAGATGAAGATGAGTTGATACCGGCATGTTACTAAAACAGAGAACCAAGTACCTCCAACAAGGAAGCGGCGAATTTCATTTGGGTCTCCTCATCTATGGTCAAGAAAAGAGGGACATGGACAAAGAGTGATTTGATCCCATTCTGCTCTGCAAAGTGCAGTGACTGGTAGTACACGTAATTGCACACAAACCGTCCAGCATCGTCCGATGTCATTACCTCATATCCCATCTTTGCTAAGGCTTTTTTGATTTCCTCAACAGGAAGAGAAGTCTGCAGAAATATAACAGAGGAAACTCATTAATGTTGGCGGAAAAAAGATGAAAGAATATAGTATCGTATGAGATGTTAACCATGGCAATAGAGATAACTGTACTACCTTTTGTACACGTGAAATTCCGCCGTCAGCAGGCACAATGGGTACTCTCTGCAAACAATATAAAAGTTCAACAAAAGGATGAAAGTTTAAGGGAAAAAGGTAGAGGCATGACGAATTGCATATGCACCATGAAAGGGGAAATGAGATATATCTAACCTGAGGTTTCCATCCCATCTCATCGGGGCAACGGAAAGTAGCTTCATTCACAGCTTGATGCTCAATTGCGAATCTACTTGCACCACTATTGACTCCAAAGTGTACCTGAAGAAATATTGCCAGAATTGACAAGAAAAATGAGTCCTGAATTTGTAAGCTGATTGCATCAAAGACAAGTTATTAAGATAGTTTCAGTTGGCAAACTCCCCTAATGAATAATGCATCAAAAATGGTCCCATTTATTTCAAGTGTAGCTCTTTTCATGCTTTCAGATAGAAAAGAAAATACGAAGGAAAATGGCAGAAAAAAAATGGTTGACCTACAATTACCAGATTAATTAATCACATGATCACTAAAAATGCACTTTCAACATGGATTTAAGATGGCACATTATCAGCATCAATTTAAACGAGATTTTACCCATATTCTCTTTACTGAGAATAAAGGAGCATGTTAGAGTTATGCATAAAGCAGCTAGTTAAAAAGGCCTCATGCCTGCTTTATTGGAAAGCTAAAAGGAATTATTTGATAGATTATTGATTTTCCATTTCTGCAAATGAGCTTAGAATAAGAGAATTCCGACACCATGACTGGGATGCTCTTTCTTCTTTCCAGCATTTACTAAGGCAGCCATGAAGTTGGTATGCATGCCTGAAACTAAGCTATTAGAACACAGTATAAAGTGAAAGCCAAGTAACTAACCCAAATAACTCTCTCAGAGCATGAAGATTGAGAATCCTTCCCTGTCAAGGCAGATTGCAATGTCTGATACAGTGGAGTGAGAGCTCCTTGTCCGGCAGTCTCGAGAACACTACAACTGCCGAGAATAACACCCTTTGGCAAACCTTTCTTTCTTGTATACTCTTTTAGATTACTAACAATGGTTTCAGTTGGATTCTCTGAAACTCCATGAAATTTCTTAAAACCAGTCACATGGATAGTTACTGCTGCTGGCCCTTCGGAACCCATCAATCAACAATTCAGATGAAACCAACTGCCGAAAAAGTTTTATCGTTAGAAAACTGATATGGTTATCCAAGTACCCGCATGAAGCACAAGAGAACTCAAGTAACGAATGCTACAAGGAACTTACAAAACCAGATGAAACCAGAATCTACGACCTTGTCCTGGTTTCATTTTTCAAATTCAAAGAACTTTCACGGTCAACGAATTTACAATTCATTACTCCTAAATTTGTGCATACCCTATATAATTCTCAATAAGGATTAATCCATAATTAGAAGGTAAATGATGGTAATAGGGCAATAAGAGCCTGAGTTTTAGCTTCAAGATGTTTAACCTATCAACAGGCCTTACAATGAAAACAATTTAGACACTAAACTTCTGATGATTAATACAATCCTTTTTGTTTTCCGAAAGGTAATACTTCATAAAAGCTTAAAAAACACTATATATATTTACAAAGACAAAGTTGAGAGTGTCTTCATAAATCTGCAGAAACTAAGCAGCCTTAAGATAAAGTTGTTAGATCATAATTGAAAGAGCCAAAGAACATCATAATCCAGTTTCGAAAACCATAAATGAAGAATCTAGAATCAGTCAATATGATCTAAGACCAACAAAATTAAGAATCCAATAAATAATCACAACCCATGCCTGATAAACAAAGCCAAACCGATCAAATATCCATACTGACAGGATACATGAAAATAAAACCCACAAATATACCTGGAAAGCAAAGGCAAGAAGAAGACAAATGAAATTAGAAGCTTCGATCACCTGTAATGTTTGACGGTAAGGAAAGAGAGGAAAAGAAATGAAAAGTCACAGACAACCAGCCTTATCCAATCTAAAGTTTGATTTAAATAAAATCGAAGCCTAATCTGATAAACATTCCAACTTTCTTTTAGAGAGAGAAGGAAGAAGAAAACAAATTTTAGAGTATTTAGCTATACTATATACAAATAATTTCTTTAACCCATTTTTCTCTGTAAAAACTTCTTATGTCGCCTCTTTTATTCTTTTATTTTTATTTAACTGCCAGCTGCATCAATTTTAATTTTGATTATTAACATACAAAAACTATTAATTTTTTTTATCTATGTAATTTATGTTTTCTTTTTCTTAGTTTCTTTTAATAAAAATTTATGTACTTGTTACACATGTTTTTCAACTTTTGTGACATAATTCTTATAGTTTTTGATATATTATTTATATATGTTTACAGTTGTTTTAGTGTTTATACAAAAATCGTCACGAAATTTATTTTTTGATGAGTTTGTTGTCGGTGATCACATATAGACAAATCATCTCTTTGGTAAAAATTATTTATTAATACTATCAAAATTATGCAACGAAATAACTTGTCAAATAATTTAATTCGCTAATTATTCTTTTATCACTTTGTAAATCATTACGTTCGGCAAAGATAATATTTTTTTATAAAAAATTATTAAATTCTTTTGAAGTTAGTCGTTATTCTTAATAAAATATTTTTTATACCTTTAAGTGTAATATTTTTATTTTTATATGAATTTTTAGTAATTATCATCTTTAATATTCTATTAATATTTAATTAAATTCTAATTCTAATTCATTCTATTATTTTATCGTAAAATTTAGTTGTAATCGTTGAAAATAAAAACTGTCAGTTTAGTTGGAGAGACGTGGGAGGTTTTGGGTGGGGTCGGGGGTCACTTTCATTCCATCGTTATAGATAAATACAAGGAATATTGTATGTATCTACAGATGTATTTATATTAAATACGATATTTTATAATGCTTATTTTATATTTTTACCTTGTAATTTATAAAAAAAAACGTTGGATATACTACGTATGTAGTACTTAAAATATTAATTTCAGTCTATTTTAGTGCCTAAATTTTTATTTTTTTAAAACTCTATTTAACGTTTAGTTTTTATTTCATTTTAATACCAACCGTTAAAAATTAACATGTTTAATACCTAAACTATTAATTTTGGTCCGTTTTAATATTTAGACTTTCATTTTTTCCAAAAATTAACATTAAATTTTGAACAAAGATAAAATAAAACAAAAATTAAACTTTATGTACGAATTTGAAAAAATTGAAAGGTTTTTTTTTTCATAAGAAACACTTTCACCTTTTTGTAAGGAATCTATTCCATGTCATATGTCTCATCCTATCAAGCATGAGAGTTGTTCTGATGAATAATTTTACAAATGAGAACATTATATGTAAAAATATGTTTATGGAATATGCAGAGAATATCTAAAAAAAGGGAATGCTCGTTTCATAAGAAGCGCTTTCACCTTTTGTTGGAAATCTCTATCATGTAATAGTGTCTCATCCCATCATACATGGAAGTTGTTGGGATGATCTTTAGAAAAATGAAGGCTCTTTTCATAAGAAACACTTTCACCTTTTGTAGAAAATCTCTACTATGTTATAGTGTCTCGTCCCACCATACATGAAAGTTGTTGGGATGAAAAGTTACGCGAAGGGGAACATTATATGTACATATATGTTTCTGAAATATATAGAGAATCTCTAAAAAAATAGAATTCTTTTCACAAGAATCATTTTCACCTTTTGTAAAGAATTTCTGCTATGACATAAATGTCTCATCCCATCAAGTACGAGAGTTTTAGGATGAATAACTCCCTGAAAGGGAACATTATTTGTATATATATGTTTTTTTCTATTCATTTTAATACTTAAACTCTCTAAATCTCTACATGTGTTCGTTTAAACTCTAAAACTCTCAAAATCTCAATATATTACTCTCACCTTTTAAAGTTGTATTTCTGTTGTTGTTTATTATGATAGTCAAATTCGTGAATTTGAAACAGAAGTTATTTTTGAATCAGAACTTTATATCCTCACATCTTTCAAGAGAAACATCACACTTGAGAAGTTAATAAAAAAATCTTCAAAAGTTCGTGTTAGAAGTACTATAAGTTTTTCTTCATTTCAATATAAATTTTCTACTTAACTTGTTCCGTTAACATATTGTGTGTTTTATATTTTCAATGACGATGTTGTTATGATGGCTGATGTTCATAATGAAAATTTAGAAGCTCTTACAGATATGTATGCTAATTTTATTGAAGTGAATAGGTTTCGTAGTATGTCATTGTGTAACACCCCAACCCGTACCTGACCTGGATACGAGTCTGAGATGTCACATTGACTTTTTAAAACAATATTCTTACAAAATAACATAACATTTGGACTTATATATAAAAAATACGATAATATACTGTTGAATTATGTTCGTTATAACAAATTTAAGGAAATAAATGTTTTTATGAATAATATTATATTGTATGAACAGTACTGTTACTGTGCAAATAGTATCGTGAACAGTAATGTACAGTATCATGAACAATACTGTTGAAAACATTTTGATATTTCGATATAACAAATTAAGTTAAATGAATTTTAAGATTTTCCAAATGATTTTTGAAGTATATTCGATATAATTATTCGAATATCAAAACATTACTCAAAATATTTCTAAAATCATTTTTAATCCTTACTTAAGTGTAAAATTAAGTTTTAATCTTAAAACAATTTCAAAATAATCTTTCAAAATATTTCGAACCATGTCAAACCCAAAATTTCCAGATTGCTCAGAGGGAACCGATTCCCTCCCATAGGGGGTACCGATTCCCCCTGAATGGTTTGACTCCGAGATTTCCAGAATGCTCGGAGGGAATCGATTCCCCCATAGGGGGTACCGATTCCCCCCTGTTCAACGGTCGAAATATTTGAATTTTACACTTAGGGAACCGATTCCCTATAAGGAGGAACCGATTCCCCCCACGCTCCAAGCTGTTTTATTAATTGTTTTCACACTAAAACGGCTATATTATCTTCATTAATTATCCCCAACGTTTAGAAGTGATTCAATGTGTATTTAAACAAGTTCTGAAGCCCTTGATCAGCAAGAAATCATAGAGAAACAAGAGAGAAAGCATCAAACACAAAGTTTGTGCAATTCAAGCCAATTTTCATTCAATATTCATTTTGCTTTCAAAGAACACTTATTGTGCTCATTTGTAATTTTCTTTGAGTGTTCTTTTCTTGTTCTAGAATTGTGCAAACATCTTACCTTGTGAGGTTTTCTTGTAAGTTTGCAAATTTGTAATCTTCTCTTTGGGAAAAAGAGTGTTCTCAAGAGTTGGGGGTATACTCTTGAGGGATTTTGTAAGGTTATCTCTTTGGCCTCAAAAGAAAGAACAAATTAGTGAATTTGTTGGAAAATCCTTAGTGTGGATAGCTAAGGTAGTAGACGTAGACTTTGTTTGAGAAAGTCGAACCACTGTAAATCGCTTTGCAAGTACTTTCAATTTTCTGCAAAAGCTTCCACGAAATTTTTAATTGCCAATTCACCCCCCTCTTGGCCGATTCCGTCGATCGATTAACTCAACAATTGGTATCAGAACCTCACTCATTTGAAGGTTTAACCGCCTCTTGAGTAGATCCGGGAAGAGTTAAATCGATAAAGATGGCGTCCACTTCCGGTTCATTCTCCATGGAAGAATCCAGACCAATTGGCGTGCCTCCACACTTCAATGGAACAAATTATCGTTGTTGGAAGAGGTTCATGATGATGTTTATTCAAGCACATGATATGGAAGCTTGGATGATAATCGAGAACGGATATTCTTTTCCTACGAAGAAGGTAAAGAAGTGGAGTAATCAAGAACGGAAGGAAGCTCAACAAAACACAAAGGCTATGCATATGTTGTGTTGTGCAATTGATCCTAATGTATATAAAGGAGTTTCTTCTTGTTCAAGTGCCAAGGAAATGTGGGATAAGCTTGAGGAGATCTATGGAGACAAGGAAAAAGAAGAACCAATAAAAGTGATGTATCTATTAGCTCTCACAGAGCCAAAGGTATCTTCTAACTCAAATAGATTAAATTCAAAATCTTTTAGTGAGTTACAAGATGCTTATGATAAATTATTTTCGGAGTTTGAGACCATGAACTCCAAATACAATAAATTGATTTCTAAATTTATTACTAAAAATGATCTTATTTTGAAAGCTAAAAAGGACTTGGAAAATAAAAATGAAATGTTGAAAAAGGAATTAGAGCTTTCAAAAATAAAATCCGAAAACTTTGAAAAAGAAATTTTCAAATTAAACAAACTTCTTCTAGAAACTAAAATGAATTTTGAAAAACAAAATGAAATTTCGAAGAAGAATTTAGAGCTTTCAAAGATAAAATTTGAAAGTATGGAAAAGGAAATTTTCGATTTAGAAGTTAAGCTTGAATGTTTAACAAAAGAAAAAGAGATCATTTTAAATAATTCATCTAGTTCAATAATGACAATATGCTCACATTGTCATTATCATGGTCATAAGGAACATACTTGTCCTTTAAAGAAAGGAAAACGATTTAAAATTAGACAAGTATGGGTTCCAAAAGGAACAAGAGGCATTGAAACTAATGTTCAAGGATCCAAAGCAATTTGGATACCAAAATACACTTAAATGTCTCTTGTAGATGTGTGGGAGCAATGGTGATGAAGATGATGATATTCAAGATGCTCTAGCCACACATGAAAAAGGAATGGGTAACCTCTAAACTTAATGTTATTATTTTATTTGGTTGCTCATTTAGTTTGTGCATACATGAGGTTTTAAATATTGAATAATTTTTGATTTTGCATAATTGTTTTATTCTCATGTATGTTGAAAATATCGTTATGATGAACATTTTAAGTTATATTTATTCTTCAGAATTTTAGTTCATCATAATAAAACTTGGTCAAAATTTTAACATAATTGATATTCATTTTAAACCATTGATATAAATTTTCAAACAATTTGATTTTTGACCTTAAA